GTGAAGCCATCAGGACAAGTGCTTTTCTTTGTTGGGAATTTATTTATGACTGATTTAATCTCCTGGCTTGTTGTGGGCCTATTCAGACTTTCTACATCCTCCTCACTCAATCTTGGTAGAGTATATGTGTCCATGAATTTTTCCATCTCATCCAGATTTTCTTGTTTGTTACTGTATAGTCGTTCATAATATCCTCTAATGATGTTTTGTATTTCTATTATAACTGTTGTTATATTACTTGCTTCATTGAAAATTCTATTTACCTGGTTCCTTTCTCTTTTTAATTAGGCTAGCTAGTGGTGGATCAATTTTGTTTATCTTTTAAAAGAACTAGCTTTTACTTTCATTTATTTTCTGTATAGTTCATTTATTTTCTATTTCTTTTTTTATTTTTTCTGCTCAGAAGTTTATTATTTCTTTTCTCTTGGAGTTTTTTGGGTTTTCGTTTTGGGTTTTCTGTTGCTTTTCCAGTTCTCATAGGCATGATGCTAGGTGCTCCATTTGCCTTCTTTTCATCTTCTTTTTATGTGCACTAATTGCTATAAACTTCCCTCTTATGACTGCTTTTGCAGTGTCCCAAAGATTATGGAAACTCGAGTCCTCATTGTCATAGGCTTCCATGAATCTTTAGATTTCAGTCTTTATTTCTTCAGTAGTTGTGAAGTCATTCAGGAGTAGGTTATTTAGTATCCATGTATTTGAGTATGTTTGAGGATTTCTCTTGAAATTAAACTCAAGTTTAATTCCATCATGGTTGCAGAAGATGCTGGGTGTAGTTTCTATGTCTTTGAACCTGCTTTGTGCCCTATGATGTGGTCGATTTTTGAAAAGGTTCCATGTGAGAGTAAGAAAAAAGTGTATCTCGTGGTTTTTGGATGGAAAGTTCTACAGATGTCTGTTAAGTCTATTTGATTTACGGTATCCTTTAGATCCTTTATCGCTTTACTTATTTTTGTCTAGATGATCTGTCCAGAGGAGATAGTAGGATGTTGATTTCCCCAAAAATTAGTATGTTGCAGTCTACCTCTCTTTTTAGATCTAACAGTCTTTCATTCACATATGTGGGTGCCCGTGAGTTAGGTGCATAGATATTTATAAGCGTTATATCTTCTTGATGGATTAGCCCTTTTACTACTATACAGTGCCCTTCTTTGTCTCTTCCTACAGTTTCTGTTTTAAAGCCTCTTTTGTCAGAAATTAGTATCCTGACTCCAGATCTTTTTTGGCTCCCTTTTGCATGGAATACCTTTTTCTAGCCCTTTGCTTTCAGTCTATTTATGTCTTTACCCATGGGTTGTGTTTCTTGTAGGCAACGGAATTTCTGTTTTTTAATCCATTCAGCCCATCTGTGTCTCTTGATTGGAGAATTGAATCCATTAACATTCAATGTTATTATCCATATTTCTGGACTTGTTACTACCTTTAGTTGGCCATTGTCTTGATTGTCTTTTATATCTTTATTTCTGTCTGTTCATTCTTCAGTTTTCCTAGAACAGGACTCTCTTCAGAGTTTCTTGAAGAGCTAGTCTGATGTTGGCAAATTTTTTCAGGTTTTGTTTTTCTGAGGAGATTTTAATCTTTTTTCCCATATGAAGGATAATCTTTCTGGATATCATAATCTTGGTTGAAATTGTTTCTCTCTCAACACTTTCAATATATCTTCCCATTCTTTCCTTGCTTACAATGTTTCCATTGAAAAGATCAGTGTTAGCCTGATGGGATGATCTTTTTCTCTCTTGCTAATTTTAGTATCTTGTCTTTACCTGTGGCTTTCACCAGTCTGGCTAAGATGTGCCTTGGAGAGGATCTTCTTGGGTTGATTCTATTTGGGGTCCTTTATATTTCTTGGGTCTGAATGTTTGAGCGCTTCTCTAGACTTGGAAAATTTTCTTCCAGGATTTCATGGAATAGATTTTCCATGCCCTTATTAGTTTGTTCACCTTCCTGGATACCAATTATTGGATGTTTGGATATTTATTTCTCATATATTATTCTCGTTTTTGTTGTTGTTGTTGTTTTCTCTATCCTTTTGGTCCCCCCCCCCCAGCTGAGCGGTTTTGCTACAACCATGATTCTTTCTTTGGCATGGTCTAATCAGCTTTTAATACTTTCTAGAGGGTTTTATATTTCCTTTGTTACAGACTTCATCTCTAATAATTCCATCTGATTCTTTCTTATAGTTCTTCTTTCAAATCATGGAAGAACTTCCTTGTCTCTTGGAGTTCGTTTTCTCTTTTCTGTTCCAACTCAGAGTTTTGTTACTATGAATGTTATCGATTCTTTCTCTGACATTTCGGTAACTTTTGTTTTTTCAAGAGATGGAAGGGAGTCATTGTGTTCTTTTGATGGAGACTTATCTCCTGGTTTCTTCAAACTTGAGGTTCTTCTAAGAATTCTAGTCATTGAGTGATGTATTCACTTTTGGATTCCATTTTGCAGACAGTTTCTGCCACTGGGAACAAGTTTTCTTCCCTTTTCCTGTGGATTGATGTATGCTGAAGTCTCTCTTCTGCTGTGTTTAGCAATGTGGTCCCCACAGGAGGAATCTTCTATTCAGGTGTCTGAAGTGCTGTTTCTCCTTTTTTGCAGGTGGTTCAGTAAAAGCAAGGATCCCAGGGAGCCTCACAATGTTTGAAAACTATCATGCTGGACAGTCTAGTCCTTCTGGGTGGGTGGAGGATGAGGAGAAGATGACAATATAAGAGAGAAGAGAAAAGAGTATGAAAGAAAAAAAAAGAAAATGTCCAAAACAGTGCCCGATTTTGCCAGGGGGGCTGCAGATGGAACTGGGTTCTGCTGGAGAGAGCTGGGAGCTGCTCTAAGGGGTAAGGAGAAGTAAAGAATTAGCCAAAGAATGAAGGAAAAAAAAGCAATCTATCTGGAGGGGGCGGTTCTGAGATTGGAAAAGCTGGGCTGGGACTGAAACTGGAGCTAGGGCTGGGCTTGGTGAAAGGCCCTGCCTCAGTGTCCCTGACTGGGCAGGAGACTGCAGATGGAACTGGGCTCTGCTGGAGAGTTGGGGGCTGACCTTTCTGGCAGGCAGTAGGAGGGGCTCTGAGGTTGGGAGAGCTGGGTTAGGGCTCCAGCTTGGGCCAGAGTGAGTGAAAGGCCCTGCCTGAGTAAGGGGCTACAGATGGAACTGGGATCTCAAAAGGGGGTTTATTTTTGAGGTGATGAAAATGTCCTAAAATTGACTGTGATGGAGGGTTGTACATATCCATGACTGGACTAAAAACCATTGAAATATACACTTCAAGTTGATGATTTATATGATACATGAATATTTTCATAAGACTTACTTTAAAAGATATAAAGATTTAACTAGGCTATTAATTGAATATCAAGGACAATTCAAGGGATTCAAGGATGATGGCCAGGTTTCTGAGTTGGTCAATGGGTGGATGCTAAGATAGAAAACAAAAAGAAACAGGTTTAAGGTGGGAAGAAGTGATAAGGAAGAGAGAGAAACAGAGGAGAGAGGAGGAGAGAAAAAGAAAAGTGGAAATTACCTGTAGGTCAGAATTTCCTTGTTTTTTGAGAGGAGGAGAAATCACAACCTCTTTTGAGAGTCTGCTAAGAAATATGGTCCCTTCTATCCCCAAATGTAAATGTAGCACCAACACCCACACACATAGTTAATTTTTAATATTTAAGGAGTTCACAGACTTCTGAAAGATGGCAAAAAGTTCCCAAAGAGGTTTCCACCTGGGCTGGCTGAAAGATAAGAGAGATCAGGGAAGTTTGGGAGGCTATCTCTACTCCCTTACTCCCAACTCTTCACCCCCACCCCTACTACAGCAGTTATTTGTGCACTTCTCTTGAATCTACTACCACAGAACTGTGAAAAGGCCCCATTTGGGTTTCCTGTTTGGGAATAGACCTCCCATCCACGCTGGGAGGTGAATCACTAGGTGGGAATTTGGAGAAGAAATGGGAGGGAAGGAACCAAAGGCATTTACTGAGGTCACTGCCTTTGTTACCTATTCATTGGAGTGATTTCTCCCTTTCTGTTATTTTAGGAGAGTCAGGAGCCTGACCATAGGATATGACTGACTCAGGAATACAACACTGGGCAGACCAACACCTTCCCAACCTCTTGTCAGGACAGGACTGATCTGAGGATCTCTGCATCCCTCAACCTGTCTCAGCCTCATCTCCTGTATTTGTTTTCAAAACCATCAATAGAAATAGCAATTAATTTTTGGCAGATGAGACTGGTTGTCAGCAAATGCATTTCCACACTTAACAAATGTTTATTATAATAAAATACATGTAAATGTTTGTTAACAAAACTTGAAATTTGTCCTTGGAGAATAAAAAAAGATTGGTTATTTAATAAAATGACCAACATCTGACAACGAGACTTCTCCCTGCAGATTTCCTTCACAGATTACTTTTGAAAACACCCTCTGTGCTCAGGATGGTGTGCTTCTCTGTCTTTTTTGTTTCCATAAATTTTTTGAACAAGCTAAAATGTCCTAAAAATGATAGCGTGAGGCCCACAGAAAATATTTTCTGTGACGTACAAATGAAGATAAACAATTTGTTTAATTTCCCAAGTAATTTTGCTTCAAAAATAAAATTTTATGCTTTTTGACTTTTAAGGCTTATTTATATATAAAAACGAAATAATAAGAAATTATGAGAAAAACAGCCAAGGAGAAGAGAAAAGCAGAGAAGAGAAAAACCAGAAGAGAAGAGAAAAGCAAAAAATGGCCCAGGCCAAGACCTGAGGTGGGGGTTGGGGTGTACAGATCTCTCCCTGGTAACAGGAGACCGGTAAACTCCGACTGCTGGGCGGCGATGCCACTTGTGGGGCCTCAGATTGGAGAGGACCGCGATGAGCGACAGGCGGAGCGCGCAGGGGCACCGCGCACAGCCGGAGGAGGGGGACGTCTGTGCGAGCAGAAGGGTCCTGCTGCCTGCCCGCCGGCAAGGTGGGGGTGGTGGGGAGGAGGGCGAGCTTGGCGCTGACGCGCGGCCCTCACGTGACCCGGAGCTGCAGAGCGACGCAGCCTTCGGTGCAGTCGTCACTCGCGTCTGGCTCCCAGCTCCCCGCTGCCCTGCGCACGGCGGGCTGGCATCCGGCCCGGGGAAAGCGGAGCAGGTAAGGGCCCCGGGGTCCGCGAGCCCCGGCCAGGGCGGCGGCTGCTTGCTGGCACAGGAAGAGGG